GGAAGGTTGTATGATTCTAAGAATTTATCCATTTCCGCTAGGTTATCCAATTTGTTGGCATATAGCTTTTCATAATATTCTCTTATAATTTTTTGTATTTCTGAGGTGTCCATTATAATTTCACCTCTTTCATTTCTGATTTCATTTTTTTGAGCCTTCTCTCTTTTTTTCTTAATGAGTCTAGCTAAAGGTTTGTCAATTTTGTTTATCTTTTCAAAGAACCAGCTCTTAGTTTCATTGATTTTTTCTATTGATTTTTCCAAAATGGTGTTGGGAAAACAGGGCAGCCACATGCAAAAGAATGAAAGTAGACCATTATCTAACAGCATATGCTAAAATTAACTCAAAATGGATTAAAGACTTGAATGTAAGACCAGAAACCATTAAACTTCTGGAAGAAAACATGGGCAGTATGCTCTTTGATCTTGGGCTTAGCAGCATATTTTAAGTACCCTGTCTGAACAGGCAAGGGAAACAATAAAAACAATAAACAAATGGGACTGCATCAAACTAAAAAGGTTCTGCACAGCAAAGTAAACCATCAACAAAATGAAAAGGCAATCTAACAATTGGGAGAATATATTTGCAAACCATATATCTGACAAGGGGTTAATACAAAAATACGTGAAGAACTCATACATCTCAACAACAACAAAAACCTAATAATCCAATTTAAAAAAATGGGAAAAAGATCTGCACACACATTTCTCCAAAGATATACAGATGGCCAACAGGCACATGAAAGAATGTTCAACATCACTATTTATCAGGGAAATGCAAATCAGAACTACAATGAGAAACCACCTCACTCCCATTAGAATGGCTGTAATTAACAAGACAGGAAACAACAAGTGTGGGAGAGGATGTGGAGAGAAGTGAACTGTAATACACTGCTGGTGGGAATGCAAACTACTGCAGCCACTATGGAAAACAGTGTGGAGATTCCTCAAAAAATTAAGACTAGAACTACCATATGATCCAGCTATTCCACTGCTGGGTATTTATCCAAAGAACATGAAAATACAAATGCATAAAGATACATGCACCCCTATATGCATTGCAGCATTATCCACAATAGCCAAGACTTGGAAGCATCCTAGGTGCCCATCAAGGGACAAATGGATAAAGAAGATGTGGTATATATACACAATGGAATACTACCCAGCCGTAAGAAATGATGAAATCTTGCCATTTGCAACAACATAAATGGACCTTGAGGGTATTATGCTAAGCAAAATAAGTCAGAGGGAGAGAGTGAAATACTGTATGATATCACTCAGTAGTAGAAGATAAAACAACAATCACATAAAGACAGAGATTGGATTAGTGGCTACCCTAGGGGACAGGGGAATGGAGGAGGGCGAAAGGAATGATTAGGCACTTGTATGTGGTGATGGATTGTAATTAGTCTTTTGGTGGTGAACATGATGTAATCTACACAGAAATCAAATTATAATGATGTACACCTGAAATTTATATAATGTTATAAATCAATGTTACCAGAATACAAAAAAGAGAAAAAGGGATAGCCAAAAATATAAAAGGCAAAACAGAATGAAAACAAGTGCAGCAAAAGTCTTCTGAAATAAAGTATAAATGAAAAGTGTTACACAGTCCAAATGTATTATTACATATTGATAAGAGTGCAATTGGCGGTAAAGTTACAACAGCCATTGTCAACTGTAAGCTAAATAGTAGAGCTTGCAATAATAGGAAAGGACAGTAGAAAGAAGCAAACTTAAGAGAAATGTAATTGATGTTAGATAAGTTGTCACACAACTATCAATTTAGGAGAGATAAAGTATAGAAAAATAATAGACATAGGCGAAATAGAAAATACAATTGGTGCTGTAGAAAAACAGTAATGCTCTTAACCATAGGGACTTTGTAGAACATTCAGAAAAACAGCAAGCATATTATATTCCAGAAAAAGCTCAATAATCTACAAAAATAAAAAATAAATTGTATTTATCAACCCATGATGCTAGAAAACTAGAGATTACTTCAATATAAACTGTATTGAAACGTGTATTTTAATTGAGTAATGAGTGAAGGAAAAAGTCAAGAATAAGACAATAAAGTATTTAGAAAGTCAGAACCTTGAGTATGAAAATGTAGATTTGAATCTCAACATATAAAGTGAAACATAGGCAGTGCTTCAGATATGTTCATTAACGGCAAAAATGAAAGGAATGAAAGGTAAAATATATTTGCGTAGTTCAAAATTTACGAGAAGACCAAAAAGACAATTAGAAAGTGCACAGAAAGAGGAAACAACAAAAATTAAAGCAAACACTAAAAAATTAGAATATACATAATTAGTAGAGTTGACAAATAGATCAGTTGGTTGGAGAAATCCAGAAAAGAGAAAAAAAATCTCATGATGTAAATTTTGCTTGTGTGTGTATAATGAAATTAAATATAAGAAGATATAACAAGGACTATGGCAGAATTTTTGTCCCCCAAATTATAAGACAACAGCATTCAGTGTGAATGCTAAGATATTGAAAATGCATGAATAAGAGTCATGCTTTATTCCACAAATATTTCAAGAAGGAATGGATAATTTGATTGGAGCAGTAATTATGGAAGCAAATGAAAATATATTCAATGTAAATCTTTTCAAGGTATTTTTTTCTAGACATTCAAAGGTCAGATATATCAATAAGGAAATATATTTTGCAAAGTTAAAATTATTCTTGTACTTAAACTTAAAAAACTATAACTAAAAATGCAATACTTTTCTTTGTGTTTGTAAAATTCCTAAATAAAACACAAGGAAATAAATGAACATAATGATAAATTGGACTTTTTATTGTCTTCTCGTGAACCATTAATTCTGACAATGGCAGCATGCTGTTTCCTTTTATATATTTTAAGATCTACTGGAAAAGTTCTAATGTGGAAAACTATTTTCTTTTTCAGATAAATATTAAGACAATCTTGAAAATTTCCCACCAAATCATACTATGATATTGGATAGGATCCTATAATATTTGTGAATATAAATGAGAAAGATTGTAATCATTTCTGCATTCTGTCTTCTCATACAATGAAATAGATGGCATAAGTTTTCATTCATTCAAGTCATGTTGGTCCTTCCATAAAGTCTTTTCACCAATATATTATATCGGAGTATATTTGTGTATGTTATGCATATTTCTTGTTAAATCCATTGCTCTATTTGACATTGTTATTGAAACTGGAATAAGCTATTATTCAATTACACTTTCTAGAAGGCTTGCTAGTGTATATGAAAGTCTTTAATTTTGTGACGTTTATTTTATAACTACCCATCTAATTGTAGTCTTTTGCTACTCTCACTGGCAGCGGATTTGATTTTCTTGTGTTTTCCAAGTGTAACCATATCATCACTTTTATCATGACATTTATATTCCACTATGTCATCTCCTGGATTATTTTCTTTTGCAGTTGCATTAACATCCTCCCCAGAAAGATGGCCAATTACAGTGGTAATTGTGGAAATCCTTGCCTTATTTCAGTGTTCATTACAACACTGTTGATAACATTTAACAGTACACACTTAGAATGAAGCAATCATCTTCGACAATATAGAAATAAAGAATGGTTAGCTTTCCTACAGCAAAATGTTCATAGAGTTATTCAATAATAAAATGTTATGTTTTTTTCTTTTTCAAGTATTAACACCATTGAAATTGTGTCAAGGAAATGATCTAGAGATTTAATATCAGATTTTTTTTTTTTAAATCTCCATCCATAGAAAATCAATGTGTTTTACCTCTAATGATTTCATTCCATAAAGACTCTGATCCTTTCCCGGGTAAATAGAGCTTTCCTGCCATATTTATATCACCACTCTTTATCCCATCATCATTCTTTATACCATCAGCAATAACTAGATAGAGATGGAAATATTTTATTAACAAAAACTTCACCATAATTGGATAAGATGTATGGCAATAAAGAAACAGAACCTGAAACTTTATAAAGCACCTCAGATTGTTTTGTCAGTCTGGACTCAATGAGATTGTAGCCTTGCTTATTACTTTTACACATTTACCACCTCTAGTTAAGAATTTAAAATATCATTGACTCCTCACATTGTATAATTGATGTTTCACATGAGCTTTGCAGTACTGGATAAATACTTCCTAATGTATCTTTTCCTGATCCTAGGATATTACTAGGAAATATTCAGGAAATCAATTAAAGAGAGTATGAGAAGTGATTAATTAGCAAAGAATAGGTGTATTTTAGATATTAGTATACTATATATATCTCTGAATATATACATTTTACTATACATACCTCAAATATACATGTTACATTAAATATAACACACATAGATGTCATACACACACAAATTATATACATACCATGTTTTACTGGAAATCATATTTTAGATATCTCATGCTTAAGAAATGTTGATACACATAAAACTACATACCATATAATCACATAAAAATGTGCAAACCAATGATAGTCCTCTGAATTAGACTAAAAACATTATTTACAATCAAATACCAAAATCAGCCCTGTCCAAAAACTGAAACAAAACAAAAAGCAGCATTTATCTGGACATTTGGGTTCTCTCCCAAAACAAAAATCAAGACAATTTTGGTGACAATATAATAGGACCTCTAATCCTGCTCATTACAACCTGGTTCTCTGTGCATCTGTTCTTTTAGCCTGCAGAGGGATGATGTTACTCTTTCAAAGCAAATTTAAATAACATGTGTGATTTTCAAGCTATGCAAACTCATGAAGCTTGGCTACAGAGATTAAGTATGGCAGTAAATCTTTTTTATTATTAAAGGTATACGATACACCTTAAAGAATTTAGAGGCGGCAGTAAAGGAATTCAGAAATTGATGGGTGTGAGGGCCTCTCCTCTAAATGGGCCTAGTGTTAATTACATGGTTTTCATACAAATTACTTGATAAAATACAAGGCATGATTGCTTGTTGTTTGTCACACCCACTACGGAGGGTGTATAAAAGGCCCTTCGGAAGCAGAGAAGCTCATATTCTACAAGGGAACACTGTCCTCACTTAAATCCTCAACTCTTGACACCATGAGCTACTACTACGGCAACTACTATGGAGGTCTGGGCTACGGCCTTGGTGGCCTGGGCTGTGGCTATGGCTGCTTCCGAGGTCTGGGCTGTGGCTATGGTGCTGGCTACAGTGGCTATGGATACGGCTGCTACCGCCCATGTTACTATGGAAGATACTGGTCCTCTGGCTTCTACTGAGAAACCTGCATGCAACCTTGCACACAACTGAAGACTTTCAGCTAAGTTTCTTCCTGTTGGTTCCACCTTCTCCATGCTTCGTTCCATCAGTACCTCTCCCAGATTAAATAATGATGAGCCAATCATGGTTACTGTGATAGAGACCTTCAGATTTCAACCCACTAGGACTGGCTTGATAAAAATCATCTGAACTTGCAATTCTAATTTTTGGGTTGGGGGAAATTTACTGTTTGGGTAACAATTCTCCTTTTGGATTCATGTTTTGGCAGAATTCTTATTCTAAATTGTTCATGTGAGATACGGGAAAATTCACTTTACATTAAACTTACTTTGGCATTTTAATTGTGTCGTAGTTGTCTTGTCTATTCCTCGTCAACAGCCTTTCCATATATACAAGCATTACATGTGAGTTTATGCATGTGTCTATCTGCAATCTATGTCGGTGTGCTTTGTGAAAGCTCCTGAAAATGGTGTTATAGATGTAATCTTATGTGACAGTGAGGGTAGAGAGACTGTCCAGCAGCTCTTTTCACACTTTGTTAAAAGTACATGGACACAGCCGCAGCTGATCTTAACCAGTCTTATATCTTCACAGTGGGATCATTATGCAACATTATTGCACCATTTGCCACTGTTGTACTCAAAGTCCTGCTGTCTTTTGCTGTTTCCAAGCAGGACACAACTCTGTTGTGTTGTTGGAAGCTGTGTTCTTAATGGATTTCTTCTATTGCGGCTGCATTTTTTGGCCTCACTTAAGCGACAAGTCAAGGAGCTCAAACAACCTTCAGAATTCTGTAGCAATTGATTAGCTAAGTTACTATCCAGGTGCCCAGACATCTACATTATTTGTGGATATGTGGCTCAGCAAGTCCTTACATTGAGTGCCCAAATAGACATCTGTCATACTGTGGGTGTTTGCCCCTCAAAATATCCTCTTTTAATTAGTTTTACTTCCTTGATAGTCAGACTATTTATATTTATGTAACTCAGTTTGTGATTCCATCTAAGGGACCAACAGTCCCTGTCTCTGGTGTGTTTGAGCATCATTTCTATTTCTAGACTTCCACAAGTGCCTGCATCATTCTCGGTTGTTCTGTTTATCTATTATTTGTACCTCCAGTTGGTGTCTTCATCTTATATTTAACTTTTTTTTTAGAACAAGATTTGCTTCACTGATGATAAAACCCACAAAAATAGAGGTCATGTGGAACTCTTACTGTCTCTCTGATGATCTTTTTTTTCAGACTTCAGTAAGAAAGTTTCTCTCAAAATGTCTTAGAATGAATGACAGCTTTTGAAAGACAACTGCATTCAGGCTATCCCTACAAAAATAGGTCAACATTTCTTGTACTTATATATTAATTCATGACAGTGGCATTCTTAGTTGTAGATTCTATAAACCAAACTGATCAAAGACAGAAGCACATGAAATCAGGAAAGAAGGGAGAAAGATGCCACCTTTAATTTCTTTCAGGAACGTAGGATGATCATGACCACCTAGTATCTCTGCTTGCATTACTGAAAATATTGATAATGAGTAACTTCAGCTGTTGATCCATAAAATAGTAGGAACAGACATCAGCAACAAATATTACACATGAAAAACAGCATATCACATGCAGTACAAGTCAAGGGACAAATAACAAAGATTCTACAAACTTTACAAAATAATGATACATTAGTCCACATTTTTAAAAAATCCGTATTATTAGGTGAACTGGGCTTGAGCCTCCAAGAAGAATAGCTGTGCTAAGTGTGTCAACAAGAGCCTCAGCTTATTCAGTTTTGTGGACTAATGATGCCCTGGTGGCTGGTGCCTCTCATGATGAATTCAATCATGCATTTACTCAACCATCCATCCAAGAATAATGGACCATCACCTTGTGCCCAATCTGTACTAAGCACCAGAGGTAGAAAGAATAAAAAGTTTCCTGGGATCTTTATGAGCTTACAGGTCAGATGGAAATTCAGATAATAAATATATAATTACAATTCTCTGTGTTAACTTTTCAGAAAGATTTACGTATTGGGTGCAATGGGACCTCGTAGGAGAGGCATCTAATCAAGCCTCATGGAGTCAGTGAAAGTTCCCCCAAAAGATACTGCCTGAGCTTAGTATTAAACGAAAGTATAAGAAGGGAGCATTTAGAATGTATTGGAGCAGTGTTTGTATTAGCCTGAGTGCTCTAGGCAGCCCATTTCCCCAAAACCAATCACTGGATGCAGCTTTCTCTAGGAGACCTGTACTCATTGAACATTTTCCGTAGAGATTCATTTGGAAGCCAGAAATTGGAAGGTGGAGTTAGATTGCCTAGGAAGCTCTTCTAACTTCATACATGATAACCATCATCAAAAATAATGGTGGCAGTTGTCTAGAAATTGCCATGAGTGGGGATACAAAATTGAAGAGAGAGAACTTAAAAGAATCAGCGCCCTGTTTTGTAACCATTATAAGTCTAAAGAAGATTAAAGTTATAGAATCAATTGCATCAGAAAGATTATTTTGGTGGTCATAGATTTTAATCGGAAATATGTTGCTGAAAGCTTTCATTTATTTCTCCTTAGGTACAATGTTACTTAAGAATATTCTTACGTCGTAAAAAATATTATATTCTCTTTTACCATTTTCAAAGCACTTTCTTGTATATTTTCTTCTTCAATATTTATAACAGCTTTTTGAACTATACAAAGTTATTTTTATCCTATTTTCAAAATGAATTTCAATATAATGTCCAATGTCACATTAAGTGACATAAGCAGAACTAGAAGTTACCTTGTTTGACTTTAGTTTACTGATCTGTGCAGAGAAGAGAACTTCCTTTGGATAAAGAGCAACATGCTCTTTTTGAAGGTCAACAGGTGGAATGTGGCATTAAAGTAGTTTCGACCTCCTATCCACAATAAAAGGTCATAAAGCAAGTCCTTAAAAGCTCAATCTCTCATATGGTTCCTTTTTAGACGTGTAGTAGTCTCGTATTCCATATGTAGCAAATTATTTTCTCAATTCTCTTTGAACCCCTCCTGAATCATAAATGTGTGACAGAACTTACATGATGAAGTTTAGGAATGTTACTAATGACCTAATTTTAGGAATTTGAGTGTTTAGAGCATTCAGGATAGAAAAGTTTAGAGACTATATTAGTTTTCTATTGTGCTTAACAAATCAGCACAAATTTATCAGCTTAAAACGGCACCTGTTTCCTAGCTCCTTCTTCTGTAGGTCAGAAGTCTGGCAAGGCACCACTGGGTTCTCTGCCCAGGGTATCCTAGAGCTGAAATCAAGGCATCAGCCAGGCTGAATTCTTGTCTGTAGGCTCTGGGGAAGAGCATGCTCCCAAGCTCATACTGGTTGTCGACAGAATCCAGTTCCTATGGTTGTAGGACTGTGTTCCCACTTCTACGCTGACAGCTGGAGGCCAGTCTCAGCAACTAGAGGCTGCCTACATTCCTTGCCACATGGCCCTCTCCACCTTCAAGCCAGCAAAGCCATGTCAAACCCTCCTCATGTTCTGAGTATGTGACTTCTTATTCTGCTATCAGCTAGAGAAAACTCTACCTTTAGAGGTTTTATGTGATGAGGTCATGCCCACCCAGATAATCTTCCTTTCTTAAAGTCAACTGTGCCATATGAAATAGCCTAATCAAGGGAAGAAAAATCATCATATTAACAATACTGGAGTAATGTAGGGTGTATCCACTAGGAAGGGGGATGGTCTTGGGGGCCATCTTAACATGCTGCCTAACACAGAGACAGAGTCTCATACCATTCTGAACAACCATTTCCTGCCTGATTCAGAGTAAGCCCAAAGCCCTTGCTATGACCTCCCTAGGTATATGTGTGAAGTTAGTTTTTAAATAGTGCTGCTAAGAGTTTAACTGTTCAGTACAGAACTAAATGATGTTACATCTCTGAAGCAATCTTCCTCTCTTCTCCCCATGCTTCATTCTACTTCAGGCAAATTGGTCCTTAAAGGAAACTAGCATGCCACCAACTCAGGACACTTGTGCTTTTAGTTCCCTCTGTCTGGCATGCCCAGATAGCTAAGTGGTTTATGCCCTCATCCTTCAGACCTTTCTCCAAAGGTCACTTATCTAGAGTGGGCCTTCCCTACCAACCTATCTGCATTTGTAATACCCCCAACTTTTCATTGCATGTCTTCCACCTCTGCTTTATATTTTGTCCTTAGCTGTTACCACTATCTGTATGTAACACAATCTATTGATTGGTTGATTGATTGATTGCCCTCCTCCACCTTTAGAACGAAACTTCCTAGAAGAAGGGGCTTTTTTCAACCTTGTTTCCTACCTTGAAATACACTTCCTAGTGCCTGAAAAAATGTTGGGCACAAAGTAGCCACTCAGTAAATATTTGTTGAGTGAATAAATTAGGTCTGTATTTGTTTACAGTCTGTCTTCCACAGTAAAATGTTAGCCCCATGGAGATGGGGGATTTGTTTCTTTTATTACTACTTTATCTCCAAGACAAGTGAGTATACGTTCTCTATTATTTGCTGAAAGAATGAATCAGAGTTAATTTGAATTTGGGGGATGCAAAAAGAGAAGGTTGATTTATGTATGAATCCAGGGTTCCTGGCTTGGATAGTTGGTGATTTTTGAAGCTCTTTGCCAAGATAGGAAACATAGGGAAGAGAAAAAAATGTTGAGTGCATGATGGTGAAAGGTAAGATGATCAGTGTTTTTTGTCTTTTTTGTTGTTGTTGTTAACATTTTTCACATGTTGATTTTGAAATGTTTCAAAGTGAATAAGGGTGCAGATGAGACAGAGAAGGTGGAGAGTTGCCAGGATTACTGCCTGATGGTGATGGTTTGCTCTGTGAAATGAAGTGGAATTGGGCCCAAGTGAGAGAATGGGAGAGTGAGACAGTGTTTTAAAAGAAAGACAGATGTTTGGCATGACTGTTAGTATGGAGGAAGGAACGAACTGGGGCATAAAGATAGGTTTGGGGGAAGTGTTGAGGGTTGAGTTGGGATTAGAGACCACAAATTTGTGTTGTGTTCAATCATCAGAGTTTTATGAAGGTTTTTTTTTTTTTCTAGCTATGTAGAGTAGATCCAGTATAATTAATTTGCTAATATATTTCATTACTTTTGCTTATCAATATGACTTTTTTCTTTAAATGTAAGGCAGGTGTGTGCGTGTGTGTGAAATATTTTTTTCAGCCAGTGCTAAGACATGCAACTCTCTTTAACATTAAATCTAGTCATTGATATAGAAGTTCTTAAAAATATTTTGAATTGTATGAAGGGAAAAAGAACAATCAAAGAGATGACATTTAGAAAGTTATGCTACTGGCATACTTCAAGCAGGAAGCAAGAGGCAT